ATATATATATAGTGAAATTACCTTTGAAATTTGTAATGTTAGTCCATTCATTTGGTGAATTTCATAGATTTTTCTTTTTCATTTTTGTTTTGTTTTGTTTTGGTTTTTGAGATAGGGTCTAACTATGTAGTTGAGACTGATCTGGAACTCACTATGTAGCCCAGGCTGGACTAGAACTCACAGCAATACTCCTGCCTCAGCCTCCCAAGCACTGAGATTACAGGCATGTGCCACCATGCCTGGCTAGTTCATAGATTTTTCAATATGTGAATCACTGAAACCTCTAATGCGTTGTTAGTATCATATTGTGGGAACAAATGAATAATTCCATTGAAAATACTGAAAAAATATATTACATTACTATTTGTGATGAAGGTCATACCCTCACTTTAAGTTCTAGACAAATATCCTGAAATACTGTTATTTTTATATTTTTTGTAAATTTTAGACTAGTAAAAATTTGAAAAAAGTAAGTAACTAAAGGGTAATAGATACATATTGTTATTATTTCATAAGCCCTAACTTTCCCATTCTTTAGTTATCTTATGAATTGCTTCATACCTTATGATATATAAAGAGATGTCACGACAAACAGAAAACAGATGTTGAAGCATAGAAAAATGAGAATGTCTGTCAGTGTCTTCTTGAAAATAGAACCAGAATTCAATAGGAAAATCTTATGATGTGACATAAAAAAAGCTCTGTTTAATTCAAAGAAAGATATTTTAATATAATTTTTAGAGGTTTCTCTTTCAATTTAAGTGTATGAAAAAGCAAATTCCCATGCCAAGGACAGATGTGAAATATTTTGTTAGTAAGTCTTAGGACCAACTCAGTCATCCAAACTACTATTAGGAGAAAAATATAGGAGGAAATGTAAAAAGGGAGTGAAAGAAGAGTACAGGGAAAAGGAGACTGGGATTAGTGAGGAGAAGTGAAACAAATGGATAAGAAGATTTTGTAATTAATAAGGGGAGCTTTAGAAACATTTCAGACTTTGACTATATTTAAAATAAAATTGTATTGCTGTAGTAGAGAGCAGAAAATGCTGAAAGCCACGATTTTAAGATGATATACACCATTTTAAGGTAATATGTACTATAGTTGGAACACAATGAGTTCTAATTCAGAATACTTGAAAAATATTGATAATTATTTATGAGTAAGGAAACATATTTTTCTGTTCATTTATATCATTTTCATCTTAATTTCTTTAATTAGCTGAGTCACAGAGTTCTACCATCTTATACTTTTATTGTCAGTATGTATATGCAGTATAAATTTATGCGGTATTTATATTGTGTTCAGTGTGAACATTTTTAAAGGGTGTTTGCATAGAAATTCTTTCAAATATGCCCCAAGATAAAAATAAGGATATTTCATTAAATATGTTGGGTTAAAGTGCATATGAAAAAAAATGAGCAAATACAACAAATAATGGAAGTACAGATTAAAGCAATGTGTTTATTAATTTACCTGACTAGTGTTAACATATTAACAGCTTACAAGTGATATTTTTGTCTCTAAAGTCAAAACAATTTTCAACAGAATCTTGAGATTTACAGATTCAGTTCCTAAGATACTGAAAATATATTATACATAAATTTATATCCATGAAATTATTTAAAAATATAAATAAAAGTTTAATATGATATTCACAGCAACAAAGTGAAATTGTGAAAATCATTTTTTTTTTTTTTTTAGGAATGGCAAGATCATTGAAGAAAATGAAAAGTACATATTGAAAGGAAGCAATACAGAACTCACCGTCAGGAACATAATCAATAGCGATGGTGGACCTTATGTCTGTAGGGCAACAAATAAGGCAGGAGAAGATGAAAAGCAGGCCTTCCTCCAAGTCTTTGGTAAGTGTTACAGCACAGTGGTTAAAATTTCCTAGTTTAGGAAATTTGAGTACATTTATACACTGCCATTTTTAATATTTTTAATTTCCATAATTAAACCTCAGCTGCCTCATTTTTAAAATACATTTTTCAGCTACCAAATAAAATTTATGATAAGAATCACATGAAATTATACAAGTAAATTTCTATGTGATTTTACCTGTTACATAACTGAAGCTGAGAAAATATTTAGAATACAGCTTAGTGAGATCTGTATTATTTTATATCTATGTAAATTTTGATCCTCATAAATTTTTAAATGACATTATGTTCAATTTTACCTTGATCTGTTTATATCTAATACTATAATTTAAAAACATAGATCTTAAACTATAATTATTTTCTCAAAATAAAATATAATTATATATTTCACAAGAAATATATAGTTTTTTACTTTGGGGAAACTTACAGGTGCAACACCCAATGATGAATGTAACTATATTATATACCTAAAATTTACCAATAAATTTAATAAAGTTTAAAAACTTAAATGTTTAAAAAGAATTTGTAATTTTTAAAGAAAATTAGTGACATCTTCCATTATGCTTGCAATAAGAATTTGCTGGGTGGTACTATTATAATTTTTCTCTTTAACAAGTGTAACACAATAATATATGCTGCTAATATTTTCTTCTTTAAAAACATTGTCATTTTTGGGCCAGCGATTTAGCTCAGTGGTTCCACCACCTGCCTCGAAAGAGCAAGGATCCGAGTTTGATCCCTGGTACCAAAAAAGAAAAAAAAAAAATGTCATTTTATTAGTCACTTTGCTGCTGCTTAGACCAAATTCCTGACAATCACAATTAAAAGGAGGAGAATAGATGCAAAGTGGAATGGGAAATGGGAAATGGGCATGGAATTAACATAAGAAAAAAAATTTGAAACAAAGTCTTTGTACACAGGGAGGTATGGAAGGGTAAATGGGAAGACAGGGGAATGGGGAAAAAATAAGAACCAAGATGGATTATGTAAGGGTGCAAATTTCCAGCGATGAATGTCACTACATTTTATATCTTAAATGTACCAATAAAATGAATTTAAAAAAACAAACAAAAGGAGAATTTAATTTGGGCTGTGTTGCAGTGAGTAGAGTCCATGGTCAATAGACTTTAAGGCAGAAAAAGCATGGCAGAAGGGCCTTGTGGAGGAAAATTGCTCATGGCGTGGAGGACAGGAAGCAGAGAGAGAGGACAGAGGAGCTAGGAATCAAAATATACATTCCCAGGTCACCTTCTAGTGTTCCACCTTTTCTGACCAGCTCATACCTCTGAATAGCACAGTGTGTTTTAAGCTTATCAGTGAACTGATCAATTCCTGAATGTAGTAGTCACATGATCCAGTCACCGTCTGAATGCCTCACTTATGAATCTAAGATATTTGGGGGACATTTTAGGTCTAAACCAGAAAATTCCACTCCTGGTGCCCAAAGGGCTCATATCCATCCCATTAAATAAAATGTATTTAATGCATTGCTTAGAGTTTTTAGTCTTAACAGTTATAGCATTGGAGAAAAGTCCATGTCCATCATGTTCTCTAAGACTCATGTCAAACTCTTAGCTGAGAACCAGTATAAAAATAAAGAAATATAAGTATTTTCAACATACAGCGACACAGGGTATGTATTTCTCTACCAAACGAGAGAGGGGCATAGACAGATACTGGACCAAAGAAAGAGCAAAACCCAATAGGGTAAGCATTAAATTCTGTCATTTCCTGTCCAGCTCCCAGACAGGTTGTGGTAAGATGTTAGCTCTACACGACTTGAATGGTCCCATTTCTCTGCAGAATTGTCTTTTGCACCCCACACATCCTCTCTCTTGTGTGGGTTCTAATTACTGCACACAGGTGTCCCTAGAAGACTGGTTCCTGGAATGTTCAACTTCCTGGGGTCTCCATTGCACCTTCAGCATTTTTTCATACATCATTCTCTCAGAAACACTGGCAGGTGGGGTGATTCTGTCATATTTTTGCCTGGATATCCTGGACTTCTCTGAAATGTAGGAGGAAGGAAAAAAATTGATCAGAAAATATAGTAGAATAATAGCATATATATTTAACCCTGTTTGTTTTCAGTAACATATATTCAAGACACATTAATCGTGTTCCATCTGGTGAAAACCTTATTAAAATTAAGAGGTATTAAGTATGATAAGTATGTGTGTTTAGGTATATACATACATACGTGGGTATAAATGGAAATTTTAACTGTGGTAAACCACAAAATAAGGTAATTTAAATTGGAAATTTTTCAAATGAAGCATAATGTTTATGTTGGCTTTTAAACTTTCAAATTATTCTTGCCCCCCCATTCTTTCTTTCTTCTGCCAGGGTTACACTGTGTAGTGCAGGCTGTCCTTGAACTCACGATATAGCCCCAGCTGGCCTCAAACTCACAGTTATCTCCATGCCTTAGCCTCCCAAGAACAGCGACTACAAACAAAGGCTACCATGCCTAGCTCAGATTGTTTTCTCTATCACTTAGTTTATTGGTACTTTTTAGGTATAAAGTACAGTTACATTCCTCATTGGGATCTTGTGCCTTTACATGATATAACTTGGTTCTTATTTTTCCCCATGCTGCTGCCCTTTCTTCACACCCTCCTCCCTTCCATATTTACAAAGACTCTGTTTCCATTTTTTCCTTTTCTCACATTTTTCTTTTCCCTTCCTTTCTTTCCCCTACCCTGCCCACATCCCTTAGTCCATTAGCCTTATTTTTCCTATTTCACATTTTAAATTGTACAATTTGAACCTTATTTACACTTTTAGTTTTTACACCAGAGATACTGTTCACTATTTACATGTGTGTCCTATTTATTTCACTTAAGATCAACATTTTTTAAAAATGCTCATAAATGTGTATTAATTTCTAAAGCTTCTTTGTCCCATTCTTACAGCTCTTTCGCCTATCCCAGAAAGCAAAGCATGCTAGTGTAACCGAGTTGTCATGTTCCATATTAATGGGGATTTCAGTGCCTACCATGGATTTTCAGTCTGAATAATAATACTTTTACTCCCATGTCAAATGAGTGATGTATACATTTTTTACAGTACAGCCTCACATAATACAGCTTAAAAACGAGACTACACATGAGAGTGGTCATGTCACACTCATCTGTGAAGCAGAAGGAGAACCTATTCCAGAAATCTCTTGGAAAAGAGCTGTGGATGGCATCACATTTTCTGAAGGTGATAAGGTAACCACGACTCCAGTACAATAGAATCCAGTTCCATTATGATTCCCAGAGCTTTGAGCATTGGTAAACCTTACCTTACTCTACAGTTTTACAAGTAACTTGCACAGATCAAACTTTTAATTTTTCAGAGGGTTGCTCTACCACAGAGATAGCCTAAAGTAACTTTCTTTAGATGGGAAAATGTCAATGTATATAATTTAAACATCAAATTAGAATTCTTAGATTAATGGTGTTGCTCTTTAGGTTGTTTTCATAGGCTTTTAGTGTACATTTAATCTTAAATAGATGTCGTTATAATTTTAAAATTCCACCTTTGATAGGTACATAAAAATAATTCAAAATTTCAAAATTCTGGCTATTATTCAACACTTCATGTTTAAATATTTTCATGCGATTGAACAGTAGGTTTGTGCTTTCAGGTGATTTAGAATCAAAAATAAAAATAAGCTGAAGTAAATATGGCAGTTTGGTGACCTCTCACCAGAATGCATCCAAGTTCTTTAGAAATCAATGAAGCATCACCATGTGTTTATTATACTATATGGATTTTTTTCCACTGCAAATTATGCCAAAATAAGACAGAAGGAGGTAATGATGTAATAATATAGTGAGATTTACATTTCACTTTTGTAAATATTATAAAATTAGTCTTTCTGCTGAGTACTCAATATTAAAATAGGTTTTTTTTTGTTTGTTTGTTTGCTTTGTTTTGTTTTTTTCCGTAATGGGGATAAAATTCAGGACGTTGCATTTGTGATGCAGGCACGGTGCCACTGAGGTAAATCCCCAGCCTCAATATTGAATCTTTTCATTTAAATTTAATTAATTTCCAGAAAATGTCTGATTTAAAAATATGTGCATTACTCAAAAGTAGACTTATTAACGTGATAGTAGAAAGATTTGAATTCATTTTCTCTAAAATACATTTTCTTTTTTTATGAAGCAGTATAAGTTCTTTAATAAAGGAAAAACATGTAATGGTACTGAACACAGTGGAACATAGAATTCAACCTTCATTACCATGGAAGAAATTTCTGCTCTCATTTCAAAACAGATTAAAGTACTTAGCACTGATGTCTCTTTTGAAATGTATTTTTAAATTAATTTTATTGGTAATTTTAGGTATACAGTACAATGGCATTCATCACTGGAAATTTGTATCTTTCCATAATCAATCTTAGTTCTTCTTTTTCCCTGCTCTCCTGCCCTTTCTTCAATCCCTCAGGCCCTCCCTATTTACAAAGACTTGTTTCAATTTTTTAATTTTCTCACAATTTAATTCCCTTCTTACATTTTCTGTTCCTTCAGTTTATCATGATAAATTTAAAATATGCTAATCTTATAAACTGGAAAAAAAAGGATCACTTTCTTGCCTAAATATCTTCTCTTTTTCTGTCCTATTTCCTCTTCTGTGGGTAATAGTTGCAACGTTTCAGTGTATTTCTTTTATGTTTTCAATTTGAACTTCAAATTTGTGGAATGTGAATGACAATCATAGTCTTTTGACCCTTGAAGTAATTATTACAGTGTTTGCTTTAATATTTTATTAACCAAAAATTATAGGTACGGGTATGGCACAATTGTCAAATCTGAAAATGTGTAAATTTTAACAAGTAAAAATAAAATTAGATGTCTAAAAACTTGGAGGGCTTTTCATGTCTCATTTGAGCACATTTCTGTGGGTTAAGCCACTCCAGAGCAATTTTTTTCATGATCCTAGCCCATATAATGTTTACTTTTATATTCTTATTTTTGTATTTTTCAAGTATTTTTCTGCCTACTGAAAAATTTCAAAAGTTGTAAGTTGGCTTTTACTCTGCATTTAATTGATGTTCTTACATGTATATTCTGAGAAAATAATCTATATTATAATCAGCTACTTTATCAATGAAATGTTATGAAGCGACTGCAAAGCTATGATATTTCATTCTAGTAGTTATGTCTTACACTACAGCAAACCACAGACAGAAATTTCTTCCAGCTGTGTAATCAATCCGCTAGATTCTCTTTGCTAAGGATTATATCTAATAACACATATTTAAATTTTTATCTTGGATTATTTTCAAAAAGCAATTACAGAAACCCAAATATACTTTTTCTTCAAATTTCCTCTAATGGCTAAAGAAATTAAGACTTTTTTCTGTTATGGCAATTATCCAAAAATAATCAGAAAAATGAATTGTTAAACTAAACTGTAAAGAAAAACAAATCTAGTTTTGAATTATTATTTTTTTCTTTTTTTTGGTACCGCGGATTGAACTCGGGTCCTTGCTCTTGCAAGGCAGGCCACCGAAGTGCTGAGCTAAATCCCAGGCGCTCTAGTTTTGAATTTTAGCTTTGTAATTTATGATAATTCAGAATAAGTAAAATTACTGAATTGTTGAGAGCTTCTTCACTTTTAAAATGCTGACAATAATTCTTAGTTTCTATCTTTTTCTAAGGACATGAAGAATACTATATAAAATGTATTTCAGGGCCGGGGATTTAGCTCACCGGTTCGGTGACCTGCCTTGCAAGCACAAGGACCCGAGTTCAATCCCTGGTACAAAAAAAAAAAAAAAAAAAAAAAA